CAGAGCCTCAAGCTGTCCCCCTGGGTAGAGTGCTGTGGCATCACAGCTCACAGCAACCTCCAACTCCTAGGCTCAAGCAAGTCTCCTGCCTCTGCCTCCCAAGTAGCTGGGACCACAGGTGCCTGCCACAACACCCGGCTATGTTTTGGTTGCAGCCGTCATTGTTGGTTGGAAGCCTGGGCTGGATTTGAACCCTCCACCTTAGGTGTATGTGGCTGGTGCCTTAGCCACTTGAGCCACAGGCGCCAAGCCTGGCATCCCTGTTTCATGAGAGTTATCATAATTGCCTGTTTTCTTTAAGTCAAAAGATGTTTGGCTGGCTCTTGCTGCTTCTCCCATATTCATGGAGCTAAAATAAAATCTGGAGTTTCTGCTACACTTTTTTTTTTTTTTTTTTTTTTTGCAGTTTTTGGACAGGGCTGGGTTTGAATTCACCACCTCTGGCATATGGGGCCAGCACCCTACTCCTTTGAGTCTCAGAGTCTCAGTCACCCTGGTTGAGTGCTCTGGTCTCATAGCTTGCAGAAACCTCAAACTCTTGGGCTCCAGTGATCCTCTTACCTCATCTTCCCAAGTAACTGGGAATACAGGTGCCCAACACAACCCCTGGCTATTTTTTAGAGACAGGGTCTTGCTCTTGCTCAGGCTAGTCCGGAACTCCTGAGCTCAAGCAATCCACCCCCGCTTTGCCTCTCAGAGTGCTAGGATTAAAGGCGTGAGCCACTTCCCTGAGCCAATGGTGGGCTACAGGGTCTAGCTCTTGTTCAAGCTAGTCTCATGCAATCCTCTTGCCTGGGCCTCTCAGAGGGCTAGGATTACAGGTGTAATTATTACACATGTAATAATTAATAATTACAGGTTTTCTTTTCTTCTTTTTCTTTCTTTTTTTTTTTTTGAGACAGAGTTTCAGTTTGTCATCCCTGGTAGAGTGCCCTGATGTTATAGCCACAGCAACTTCCAACTCTTGGGCTTAAGCGATTCTCTTGCCTCAGCCTCCCAAGTAGCTAGGACTACAGGCACCCGCCACAACAGCTGCCTATTTTTTTGTTGTTGTCACTGTTTTAGCTGGCCGGGACAGGGTTCAAACACGCCAGCCTCAATGTATGTAGCTGGTGCAGTAACCATTATGCTATGGGTGCCAAGCCTCTGTTAGACTTCTTAAGCAGAATTTCATTTAAATCAATACCTGCCTCTGCCTTTTTAACCAGACCTCTGTTTGGTCCAGGGTTATGTGTCCTCATTCCAGGTGAGGATGAATCACTACTGATAGCTGTTACCTTATGGACAAATAGCCATTACCTGTGCCTTGTGGCCAACTAAACTTCACAGGGCATGAGGGAAGAACTGCAGGGAGATGGATGTTTAAGGATAGACTTTCTCCACTTATGACAATGTTTAGGATAGGATGTGGCCTCTCCCTTTGCATGGTGCTGGTGCAGATACACGTGACTCCTGGGGCAGCTGCAGCCACTTTGGGACCATGAGGCAGCATATAGCCACCCTGCTTCCCTGATATCCCTGAAGACATTTTGTCTTGGAACTTCTTGTTTTGGGTGATAACACATCATTTTTTGGTTTTTTGCAGTTTTTGGCAGGGGCCAGTTTTGAACCTGCCACCAGTGGTATATGGGGCCAGTGCCCCACTCCTTTGAACCATAGGCATGGCCCTGATAACACATTATTTTTATTGTTTAAGCCCAGGTTAGGGTTTTCTGTCCTCGTGGCTAAAGCGCTCTTGAGTTAAGGCAGTGTACTTGTCAGAGCAGGCAGAAGTAAGCCAGGACTGAACCCCTCAGAGGTGATACTTGAATTGAACCTCAAAAGATGAAGACTTTAGCAGGTGACATGGAAATGGGGTTTCAGAGGGAACAGACATGACAATGGAGGCAGGTATTTTTTCCATAAAGTATATTTGGGTAGAACCAGAGCACAGAGAATGATACGGAGCAACATGATATGAAGCCAGAAAGGTGGTAGTGCCGCCCTTCAGGGCCTCCCACATGAGGTTGAGGGCCAGGACCTGGCCCTGGGGAAGTGGGGTCAGCTCTGGGACCCTTCTGTGAAGGGAAGGGGCTAGGGGCTAAGAGGCAGGGGAAGAGCTGGTGATGAAGTGGCTGGAAGCCAAGGCCTCAGGGAAAATCCAGGCTTCCGAGGAGCTGACCACTATGCTGATGATGCCCTGGCTCTCAGCCTCCAGCTGTGGAGAAGACACTGTCTTTGAGGCATTGCTGGTCTTGCAAAAGGTATGAGAAGGTCTCAAGGGATCACCCCAAAGCCCCATAAATCAACAGAAGCTGGGCCCTGTGCAGCAGGCAGGATTCCAGCCACTGTGAGGACATAGAAAGCAGGAGCAACCACAACCTGAGCAGCTGTGGCCAACCCATCTAGGAAGGCAGGGACAGATTCTCTTGGGAGGGCGAAAGTGCTTCCCTAAGTTAAGCGGATCCAGACACAAGAGAAGGCAGGCCCTTTGGAGGGGGACAGAGGAATTGACCATAGACTTGGAGGCTGTGAAAGCTGAGATAAGCAGGTATGGGGCCTGGCAGCAAGCTACCTTATCCCCTTGCCCACAGGAGGCCACAAATGTTGCTGGCCCCAGGGAAGGCTGATTGTGATTCTATGGAGGCAGCTGTGTCCCATCAGCTGCCTCCATAGAAATCTGGAGTGTTGGGAATCTCTGAAGGGTCACAGGTGCTGGGGCACCTCAGGGGGCTGCTGTTCAAGAATCTTCTTTTCTGAAGCCTCCACATCCTTCTGGTCACCAGCTGGAGCTGGGACAGGTGCATCATCTGGAAATGGAGGGAGAGATGGTGGCACTAGAAATCCCAGCCCCTTCCTCCTCCCTCAGACCCAGGGGTCTGGGCCCCCAGACCATCCTCTCTGGGCTCAGGAGCCAGTACCTGTGTCTGGGTGGAACTTGAGCTGTGCCTCAGGGTTGGAGGCAGGGGCATTGTGCCCCTGCTGCTGCTGCTTCCTCTGCTCCATATGCAGAACAGCCTATGGGAGATGCAGGGATGGCACAGATAAGAAGGTGTAACACTGGAGTTCAAGATGCTCAGGCCTCAGTCCCTAAACTGAGACTCCATAGCAATCTGCTAAGTGGTCAAGGGCCAATCCCTTCTCTATGGGCCTGTTTCTCCTCTAATTGAGGTGGGAGGGAGACCCAGTTCTCTTCCATCATGGTTTGGGTCCCGTTCGAGGACAGAGAAGCCCTCACTGGACCCCTGCTGAGTCGACCCTTCTCCCTGGTCCCACTTACAACCCTTAACCAACATGGCAGCTGCAGAGCTGCCAGGCATGGGAATCGTCTGCCCTTGAAGATGGTGGCAACTACTTAAGGTTCTACCAGTGATTAACATGGCAGCCACAGCCTTCCCAGTCTCTGGACACCCAAGTGGACAAGGACAAGGGTCACTAGAGGCTTAGAGGATGGAACCAGCTCCCCTACCTGCTGCAGTTCTCTCTTCTGGGCCTCCAGGCGGCCCTGGGACCGCCCGAGAGCCTCTGTCTCCTGGCTGAGGCGCTGCGCCTTGGCATTTAGCTCTGCCTCCCGGATGGCCAGCTCTTCCTCGAAACGCCTCAGTTCTTCCTCAGTGTAGGCAGGGTGCATCTCCACTGTCTGTAGGGGCAGAGGCCAGGGCCATCAGTGGGGTCACTCAGCCTTGGCCCACCCTCTCATGCTGCAGAAGGCTCTGCTACTGGAGGAGTTTACAGAAGGCGGGGAGGCTGGGTGTGTGCGGGTGATGACACTGGAGTGGGAGGTGGGGAGGAGGATAAAGACCTAGAAATGGGAGAATAGAGACCTAGAGAGCAAGGGACAAAGACCCAGGGGAAGCCAGAGACCCAGAGAGAGAGAGAGAAGTTACCAGAGACTCTGAAAACAAGGTTAGGACTGGGAGAGAGAGATTCAGAAACTAGAGCAACCCCCTTGACCTCACCTCCCAGCCCTCGCCAGTATCCCCAAACTCTTTCCTCTGGGTGGATGCAAGAAACTCCTCCAGGGTCACAAGGCGGTCCTGGTTGGTGTCCACCTGGGGAGGCAGATAAGGGTAAGTGACAGAGCTGGGCTCCCCTCTCCCACTGGCCAGGGGCTCCCCCACTCACATTCTTCATCACATGCTCCCGCATGCGCAGACGCTCCTCCTCCATCTCCCGCATATCATCATCCTCATTCTTTGGGTCATACACCTTCTCCAGCTGCAGGGGTAAGCAGAGGCAGGAAGCACTGCACGATCAGGGCCACCTCATTCCCAGGTTATCCCCATCCATAGATGCACAACCAGGGGGATCGAATGAAACTGGTAGGATCCCTGGGGGGACATGTGAAGGATCTGGTGTTCCTCCTGTGTTAAAGGCTTCCAGGATGCTCACCTCCTTGGTGAAGAGGGCCTCTAGTTCCTGCTCATCCAGGACACCATCGCTGTTGATATCTGAGAGGGAGGAAACAGGGCATTCAAGGGACTGAGGGCAGGGTGAGTGAGGTCCCTGATAAAGGACTGTGGGCACATAGGGGACAAGTGACTACAGGTGTTCAGCAGTGGCCTAGTGGCCACCAGGCTGTCACCAGAGTGGCCCATTCTCTAGTTATCAGGATCCTGAGAATGGAACAGATGAAGGTCGGGTGTCAATGGGCCCATTGTCCCTACCAGTCTGTGTTGGCCCAGGGGTTTCAGGGACTCTGCCTCCCAAAGAACTAGGCCAGCTCCAACTCCAGTTGCCAGGGGGGAACTTTTCTGCCCATTCAGCTCTCACAGCTGCAGGGCTTCCGGTTCTGTGGGCCATACGCCATGTCCCCACCTCCACCTGTCCTCCCTCTGCTCATTCAGATCAGCACCAACCTTGCTCCTATCAAGGAGGCCCAGAACCCTGATTCTGTTAACCCACTGGTTAATTTTCAGCCTGCATCTTAGTTGACTTTGCATCCTTGGCTTCCAGAACATTGTGTATTCTATCCTCTCTGGCTGCCCCTCAGTCTCCTCTGCCAGCTCTGCCTCTTCCTAACCTCTATATGCTGGTGCACCCCAGAGCTCAGTCCTGGGGGCCTTTTCTCAACCTAACTTTTGTATCTGTGCTATCTAATATGGTAGCTACTAGCAACATGGCTGTTTACATTTAAGTTGATTAAACATAAATAAGATTTACAATTCAGTTTATCAGTCCCATATGTGGCTAGTGGCTGCCATATTGGATAGCACAAATTCGGGACATTTTTCATCACTGCAGAGAGTTCTGTTGGCCAGCACTTCTCTAGATGGGCTCCTCTGGTTTCTCAGCCTCCATATCTGAATATACAACTGTCTACTTTCCATCTCCTTACAGATGTCTAAATTAGACATCTCTAATTTAACTTGACTAGACCCAGCACCTGCATCTTCCCTGCCAAACATGATCCTCTCGTCTTAGTGGAAGGTAACTCTATCCTTCCAGTTGCAGGGGACAAACGCCTTGGAGTGACACTTGACCCTCTCATTCCCTTAGAACCCTTGTCTAGTCCATCTGCCAGTCCTTCCAGTCTAACCTTCAAGATGATTCCAGAATCCAATCACTTCTCTGTATTTCCTGTGGTCAAGCCATCAACATCTTTCACCTTTTCAGCAGGCTCCTGGCGGTGACCCTTGCCCTACAGTCTGCCCTAAACACAGCACCCAGATGGATTCTGCCAACCCTTAAGACAGACAGTGTGAGACCTCTGCTCAAAGTCTTTTGTGGTGTTCCATCACAGACAGAATAAAACCCATGTTCCTTACACTACTGCGTTTCCCCGAAAATAAGACCTAACCCAAAATAAGCCCTAGCAGGATTTCTATGCATTTGTTAAATATAAGCCCTTCCTTGATAATAAGACCTAGTGATGGGTGTAGCTATGCAGCGTATCTGCATAGCCATGCCCTGCATTTCCACGGAGCGGTAAGGAAGACTGGAATATCTTTTACCTGCCACAGTTCCTTTCTCCAAGCTGTTCGCACTTGCATGGGTGTGCGTGCGGTCACAGGCATCCTATTGCACACGTGTGAACAGCTAAGGGAAAGGAGTTCACGCATCACTAGTGCCAGCCCCACCAACAAGGTCGGCTCCCCCTGTCAGGTTCCAGAAGAAGATGACTTAACTGTATTTGAATAAATGTAGATTGTTGTATTATACTTAATAAAAAATAAGACATCCCCTGAAAATAAGCCCTAGTGTGTCTTCTTGAGAAAAAATAAATATAAGACAGTGTCTTATTTTCGGGGAAACACAGTAGCTATAGGGCCTCAAGTGGCTGCTGCTACCTGCCCAGCTGTCTCTGCTACCTTTCTTTCCCTTGTGCATTCTGCTCTAGCAACCTCAGAATCCTCCCTCCCCCAAGTCCTTCCCTAGGTATGCTTGCTGTTTTCTCCATCTAGAACATTATTCTCCCAAATATCTGCCAGGCTCAGCCCCTCACCTCACTGAGGTCTCTGTTCAAATGTCTTTTCTTTCCAGAGCTGTGCTATACAATGAAGCAGCCATTAGTCACATGGGGCAACTGAGGCCAAAATTAATACCAAGTATAGTGAAAAATTCAGTTCCCCAACATTATTCTAAGTGAAACAAGCCAGTCACAAAGAAGACAAACATCATATGATTCCACTTATATAAATTCCCTAGAGTAATCAAAATCAGAGAGATAGGAAATAGAATGGTGGTTGCCAAAGGCTGGGGGGAGGGGAAAATGGAGACTTGTTTAATAGATCAGTGTTTCAGTTGTGCAAGATGAAAAGTTCTGGAGACTGGCTGCACAACAGTGTAAATATACTTAACACTACTAAGTAAATTGTAAATTTAAAAATGATTAAACCTGGACTTGGTGTGCACCTATAATCTCAGCTACTTGGAAGGAGGATCTCTTGAGCCCAGGAGCTCAAGACCAGCCTAGACAACATAGCAAGACCATGTCACACACATGTGCACTCACTACTGGATCTATAATAAAGCAGTGGTAAGCATATTGTGTAGTTGAGCATAAGTAAAAACACTTTTTTTTTTGCAGTTTTTGGCCGGGGCTGGGTTTGAACCTGCCACCTCCGGTATATGGGGCCGGTGCCCTACTCCTTCGAGCCACAGGCGCTGCTCAAGTAAAAACTCTTTTAAAATAAAAAACTTCAGGGCAGCATCTCTGGCTCAGTGGGTAAGGCGCTGGCCCCATATACTGAGGGGGTGGGTTCAAACGCAGCTCCAGCCAAACTATAACAAAAAATAGCCAGGTGTTGTGGCAGGTACCTGTAGTCCCAGCTACTTGGGAGGCAAGAGAATCACCTAAGCC